AGACAACAGCTAAATTGCGACCAATAGGAGGACTCCATTTTGTTACCATGGCAACTGAGCTGTTCGAAACTGTTACCATTGTGTTTTGCATCCCTTAAAACCCCTATGCACCAATTCGTGGCGGAATCAGACAACATTTAACTTTCGACTAATCAGAGGGTCAAATTTTGTTACCATGGCAACTGAGCTGTTCGAAACTGTTACCATTGTGTTTTGCATCCCTTAAAACCCCTATGCACCAATTCGTGGCGGAATCAGACAACATTTAACTTTCGACTAATCAGAGGGTCAAATTTTGTTACCATGGCAACTGAGCTGTTCGAAACTGTTACCATTGTGTTTTGCATCCCTTAAAACCCCTATGCACCAATTCGTGGCAGAATCAGACAACATTTAACTTTCGACCAATCAGAGGGTCAAATTTTGTTACCATGGCAACTGAGTTGTTCGAAACTGTTACCGTTGTGTTTGGCATCGCTAAAAATCCTTATGTACTTATTTTGGACAGAATCAGACAACTTCTTAATTTCGACCAATCAGAGGCCTCCATTTCGTTATCATGGTAAGTGAGCTTTTCGAAACTGTTACCATTGTGTTCGGCATCAACCAAAACCCTTATGTACCGATTCCGGGGACAAATCAGACAACATCTATATTTGGACCAATCAGAACCCAGTATATGGTGGCCATTTTGTCAATTAGAAAACAAATGTCGCAGTTAAGTTTGCAATGCCATATTACACGTACTTACTAAATTTAAACTAAATCGAACTACAACGGAGCTTCGACCAATCAGAACCCAGTATATGGCATCCATTTTGTTTAATTAGAAAAGGAATGTCATAGTTGTGTTTGCGGTACCATCATACACCTACATGCCAAATTTGGAAGGCATTGGAAAATATAGGTAAAACATGTAAAATAGGATAGGTGACATTGGCTAACCTTAGCGACCACCTTTAGAAATTTTAAATTCCCAAAAATTTCAAAAATTCATAGCGGCCATCTTGGACTTCCGTTCGAGATAAAAATAGCCTGTTGCACACCTAGACCCCCTAATGAGTATATGTGTGTAGTTTAATGATGATCCTCCCAGTAGTTTCTGAGAAAACCTCTTGACAAGTTCATGGCTGAAGAAGAAGAAGAAGAAGAAGAAGAAGAAGAAGAAGAAGAAGAACCATGTTTGGGGAACTTAATAATAATTAATTAATAAGAAATGGAGTAAAAACAATAAGTCCCCAAAACTTTGTTTTGGGGGAATTAATAATAATAATTCGAAGTTCCTTATATACCGCTTTATAACAAAATTGTTTGTAGGTCGTCTCGAAGCGGTTCACAAATTATTATACGTGGTTAGAGGGCCTGTGCAACCAGCCAATGTCTTTTTCAACTCCCTAGGGAGCATGTATAAGTACGGCCTCCGTACGATAACGTGGCAATCGCAAGGAAATCGTACGTTGTAAGCAAGTTGTAAGCACGCTCAACTCACTTACCACGTGTGCAACGTACGATGCACGCAACCGCTCACGACCAGGCATGGCGTACGGGCCACGTACTTACACCTTGCATACTCTCTCCCTGCTCTTGCCACTCCCTCCCCACGTTTGCAGAAAAACGTGGTGGCCTCCCCAAAAAACGTACGGACTAAAAACACGCACGGTGGGTTGTGACCGGGCCTTAATGGAGCGAGTGAACTATGGATCAGTCTTTTGAGCAGTTCGATCGGTTACGCCTTGCCCATCCCCACCCTGAATCCCAACAAGAAGGGGGAGGAGGGGTGATGACGCCACCATTGCCCTTCGCACTGTGTTCCAGCATAAGCGTCGCCGGACAGACCGGAAGCGATAAGACGCGATTCGTACTCAGACTGTTACGTCACCTCGACGCGATGTACGGGAACGAACCTCCATGCGAGGTGTTGTACTGCTACGGAATACACCACGTGTCATTTCGTTGTTATGCAATGAGCGTGAATGACGTGAAGTGGATAAGTCATGCGTTGAACGTGGTGTGTGACGCCGACTTGGGCTGTTACGTAGACCTGGTCGAGCTGGCGGGTAGAATCGCCAACGTTCGATACGACCCCAGAGTGTTTAGTGGATTGGTATGGCAGCACATAAATATCGGCGGTAATTGTCTGGTGTTTGCCAGTGGTAAGATAAACTGCAACGGACGCGCGTCGTCGTTCGACGAGGGACGACGGAGGCTCAGACGTTATGCTAGAATGTTACAGAGACTGGGATGGAACGTGACATTGACGAACGCCCGCGTCGTGACGGCGTCCGCGCCCACGCATTGAGTGGACGGATGGATCCCTCGAATCTCTCTCCCGGTTTCACTGCGATACGGAACTGTTCAATGTGGCAATGCAGAGAAGAGGAAAGTTCCTTTTTACCTGTCATTTTTCCGGTAATGTGTTGATCACCGGTAAGACAGACAACTGAACGGTGCATACCCGACCTTGCTCGAACTTGAACTATACGCTTCTTAAGAAGGAAACGTCTCGCTCACTCTCAGAACCAGCATGACGTACGGGAACTATTACGATCCGAGTCATCCCGGATCCTTTTCGAGCGTGAACAAGTTATACAGAGCGGTGCGTAAGGAAGGAAAGTACGTGTTGGGGAAGGCAAATATTAGAAAATGGTTGGAGAAGCAAGAGACCCACGGGGTGCACGCTAAAGTGACCAGGAAGTTTCGGAGGAGAAAAGTCATCTCTCCTTTCATAGACTATCAGTGGGACGCCGTCACGGCCGTCTTTGCGTCTCAAGTCTCAAAGAACGACGTGAGGAAATTCACCAAGGAACGAGGAATCGAACAGTTTGTCACGTAGAACGAGCCGAAAGCCAATTATGCCGAGAGAGCCTTGAAAACCATTAATACCAGACTGGCTCGTTATGCCACCCGACGTCAGACTCGTAGATGTGTCGACGTGTTGAAGGGAACCACCGAAAGCTACAACGCCACCTATCACCGATCGGTGAAGAAAGCCGAAAAGTGTGACAGAGAAGAACGAGACGCGTCTGTGGAAGCTGAATTATTCTGCGAGACCGAGAAAGACCAAGAGCGGGCTCCGCTACAGATTTCGTGTCGGAGACACTGTTCGCATCTCGGCCGTGCGAAGGCCATTCGATCGAGAATATGACGAGTTGAGAAAGGGTTTCAGAAGTGACCGTTCATCGCATCGAGAAGGTGTTGCAGCGAAAGGGAAACAGGGTGTTGGTCAAGTGGTGGTGTTGGCCTGACATGTTCAACATTTGGATATCTAAAGAGTCATTGAAAAGTTATAAGAAGACTTAGACACTCACTGCCTCATGGAACACTCTCCGGTGTGGCTGAGGATTTAATTTCTGAGAGCCCTGAGAGATCGCGATCGATCTACGAGACTCTACATGATCGACGCCATGAACCGGGAACAGATGAACGCATTACACTGTAACGAGGGTGGCAAGGTTCTTCTTGAACGGACGCATCAGTGTGATGACGAGGGACGTTTTCACCTTCGCCAGGCTTGAGACGATGTTGCGAGGACTCGTGTCTCGCAGGGTGTCATTGGAGAATTGGAGAGGAAGAAGACGAGCATGAAACGTCATTTGAACCTTCGCCACCGTTTGCTGAGAGCTCGCTATCTGATTCAGGTCATCCACCTAGATACGGCAGAGGAATGACATAAGAAGGGTCGTCCGAAAAAAAACGTCGTCATGTATTTGTTTTTGTGTAGTAGGGACTCGGTGGTCACCCATCCGAACAATCGTCTGTCCAATTTTATGGTGGAACTGAATCTAGCGATCGAGCTCGTAGGACGATGGGAATGTGCCTTGATGGATCTCGAGTTCGAATAGACTACAGGTCTAGACTGAGTTTTTGTGTGTTGTGACTTGATTACAGAATCCCGTGTCGGGGACTCTTCGTTACAAGTGTTGAGGAGTCTGAACGTTTCAACGAGCTCTCGAGTGAGAGCCTCGTTCGCTGTACCGTATTACATCCACGTAAGAGCGGATGAGGCAAAGAGACTATGGATATCAATAAGAGGGAACGACTGGCGAGAGGCGGATATCGGAGCTCGCCCGTTTTCTTGCACTTTACACTTGAGGAAAGCACGGATTTCAAGCAGCTGAGATGGGTATCTTACGTACCCGACTACGACTAGTGGATGCGTCACGTGGAAGACATGGCCAAGGGGCGAGTCAAGGCCAACCACAAGGGGCGCTACGTTGTCGGGAGCGGGTCTAGACATCGAACGACGACCGATACCCCCAAAATTAAGATGGTTATCCTCGTGGCTCACGCCATGGAGATGGCCCGCGCAGAGTTTCGGCGAAAAATAACTATAAGAAGAGGGACGAGAGTCGCCGACACACAATTGGAATGAGATGGAGGAGGATCACGTCGAACCAATCAACCTCTTTGAACCCTCCACTGTCAATACGGAAATGGCGACAAAGGAATGGATCGAATTTCGACCGATCAATCAAATCACCCAGAACTCTCCTTTGGAAGTCGACGTCCCTCCTCTGTCCAATGCTTACATGGACTTGAAGAACAGTCGTATCAAGGTATCGTGTCGTTAGACGAACGAGGTCGGACAACCCGTTTCCTATAGCGAGCCGGTGGCGCCCGTCAACCTGACGTTACACACGATGTTCTCGCAAGTGGATTGCTCTTTGCAGCAAACGTCGGTCTCCTCACTGGGAAGCAACTACCCTTAGAAGGCGTATCTCGACACGGTGCTGCTCCGAAAAAAGTGGAACGTTGTGGATCGGCAGTCACAGCTCCTCATCGCGGACCAGGCCAGGAACGGGTCGAACGTCATGGACGACTCGGATCCGAGCACGGGGAGAAACGAGGGATTGTATCAGAGATATACGTACCTCCGCGGAGGAAGGGTCTTGGAGATGGAAAGTCCCTTGTATCTCGATTTCTTTCAACAGAGCAAGGTGATGCTTAACGGTGTTGGACTTGGGTTGAAGTTTTGACCGATCAAAAATTCCTTTCGGTTGATGTTGTCCGCCGAATCACCAGAATACGACCTACAGATTGTCGACGCCACATTTCGACTCTGCATGCAGATGCCTAATCCCGCTCTGTTGGTGGCCCACGACAAAATGTCGAAACGATCACTCGCTATCTACCCGTTATTGGATACGACGATGAAAATCGCGTCCATATTGGCCGGCAATTTCGGGTTTACCGCCGACGACATGTTTCAGGGAGAGGTGCTGTCTCGCCTGATCCTAGGTATGGTGACGAGTCAGGCATACAGTGGAGATTATCAGAGGTCCCCTTTCAACTTCCAACCGTTCGGATGCAATTTCGTCGCTCTGTACGTGGACGGACAGTCGGTACCCACCAAACCCCCCAGCCCGACTTCGACAACGGCGCATACGTGGAGGCTTACCGGACACTGACGTTTTGGACGTCGACAGAGCGGTTTACGCGGACGGATTTACTCTCTTCGTTCTGGACCTCAGTCAACACGCCGACTTTGAATCGAAGAGACGGGACAATGTCGCTTGGAATTGAGGTTCGCCAGGCACTCCCGGAGAATTGAGTTGAGGATTCGTTTGGGACGACTTCCGGTTACGGTGTGCTGCGCCGACGAACTACCTTCGAGAGTGGGGGCACAACCTCAAACGTTCGTGGTCAACAGCGATCTTTGTAGCGAGGGCGAAACCCACTGGATGACGATGCATTTTTCGGTTGATGGATCGTGCGAATTTTTCGATTCCTTGGGACGACGCCCGGAAGACTTTTGGAACAGATTCAGAAACGTGCTTGTCGTCAACGGACCCCGATACCGTTACTGCGCGAACGGGATTCAAAGAGAGGGATCGGAGGTGTGCGGACATTACTGCGTTTATTTCACGATCATGAGCTACCTCGGAATTCTATGAAGGTTATCGTTCGAGTGTTCGACTTGGGCGATTCGAGCCCCAACGACGACTTGGTCCGAACATTTGTTGACGATTTGAGAGGGTGACGACGTTGAAATATCGTGTATCAAACAAAATGAATAAGAAAACAATGTCTTTTTTTTGTTTTTGTTTTAGCTTTAGTGACGATAGCGACATTTTATTTCATTGTTTAAACGACAAACTAGACTGAATTGATGTGTGTATGAGGTGTGTGTTTAACCAAAAAGAAATAAGAAAAAACAAAATACAAAAGAAAAAACGAGAAGACAAATAGATTTTTACAATCATTTAATTGTCTCTGACAATAAGGCGAACGCGAGTCAGGGACCCATCCCGTATAAAAGGCCTGACTATACTGCTTATAATTGTTTGTGAATCTTTGTTGTGTATCATAGAAAACAACATTTTGTAGTTTGTTTGTCTGCATAGGGACACACTTACGAATATAAAATCCATCATTTCTTCAATAAATTCTTCACCTATTCTTTTTAGATACGCCAGAAACGATTTTATTAACTCTGCAATGATACAAAAAAGGTAAAACAATTCGAACAAAGGTATATTTGAACAATATTTACTATAAGCATCGTTAAGCTATGACATCTGTATAGAATCCCGAAAATATATACTGTGTTTACTTTTAAAACAGATATGTGTATCGAGATACACATAGTAATGAATGTATTGTGTTGTGAAAATACAGTTTACGGGTTACAGGGTAAAGGGTACGGGGTACGTGGTACATGGTACATGGTACAGGGTACAGGGTACAAGGTACGTGGTACAGGGTACAGGGTACAGCGTAGACTGAAACAATTCATTAAATCGTTAAGCTTCGCAAGACTTTGTTGTGTATTGTGGCAAAACAACTTGTTTGCTTGCATAAAGAAATACACTTTCATTTCGGGTATTATCAATCAAAGTTTAAATAAATTCGGTTTGTGAGTTCACCGATCCTTTTTTTAAACACCAACAGCGATGTTATCCACTGTGCAGTGATACAAAAACGTACAACAGCTCTTTTTTTTATCTGTTTGAACTGTATTTACCATTAACATCGTAACGCTACATGTATTGTGAAACTAACTTTAAAGTCAGATATGTGTACCAAATACATATCGTATCGAATTCGTTGTGCTGTGAAACTACAGTTTACGGGGTACAGGGTTCAGCGTACGTGGTACAGGGTACGGAGTACAAAGTACGGGGTACAGGGTACAGGGTACATGGTACAGGGTACGGGGTTCATGGTACGGTGTACATGGTACAGGGTACGGCGTAGACTGAAACAATTCATTTAATCGTTCAGCTTCGCAAGACTTTGTTGTTTATTGTACCAAAACCACTTGTTTGCTTGCATAAAGAAATACACTTTCATTTCGGGTATTATAAATCAAAGTTTAAATAAATTCGATTTGTGAGTTCACCGATTCTTTTTTTAAACACCAGAAACAATGTTATCCATTGTGCAGTGATACAGAAACGTACAACAGCTCACCTTTTTTTTTATCTATTTGAACTGTATTTACTATTAACATCGTAACGTTACATGTATTGTGAAACTAACTTTAAAGTCAGATGTGTGTATCAAGATACATATCGTATCGAATGCATTGTGCTGTGAAAATACAGTTTACGGGTTACAGGGAACAGGGTACGGGGTACAGGTTACGGGGTACAGGGTACAGTGTACAGCGTAGACTGAAACAATTTCATTTAATCGTTCAGCTTCGCAAGACTTTGTTGTGTATTGTAGAAAAACAACTTGTTTGCTTGCATTAGGAAATACACTTTCATTTCGGGTATTATCAATCAAAGTTTAAATAAACTCGAATTGTGAGTTCACCGATTCTTTTTTAAACACCAGCAACGATGTTATCCACTGTGCAGTGATACAAAAACGTACAACAGCTCTTTTTTATCTGTTTGAACTGTATTTATCATTAACATCGTAACGCTACATGTATTGTGAAACTAACTTTAAAGTCAGATATGTGTATCAAAATACATATCGTATCGAATTCGTTGTGCTGTGAAACTACAGTTTACGGGGTACAGGGTTCAGCGTACGTGATACAGGGTACGGAGTACAAAGTACGGGGTACAGGGTACAGGGTACATGGTACAGGGTACGGGGTTCATGGTACGGTGTACATGGTACAGGGTACAGCGTAGACTGAAACAATTCATTTAATCGTTCAGCTTCGCAAGACTTTGTTGTTTATTGTACCAGAACAACTTGTTTGCTTGCATAAAGAAATACACTTTCATTTCGGGTATTATCAATCAAAGTTTAAATAAACTCGAATTGTGAGTTCACCGATTCTTTTTTAAACACCAGCAACGATGTTATCCACTGTGCAGTGATACATAAAGGTACACCAGTTAAAAAAGGTTGTATTTGAACTGTATTTACCATTAACATCGTAAAACTATATGTATTGTGAAACTAACTTTAAAGTCAGATGTGTGTATCAAGATACATATCGTATCGAATGCATTGTGCTGTGAAAATACAGTTTACGGGTTACAGGGAACAGGGTACGGGGTACAGGTTACGGGGTACAGGGTACAGTGTACAGCGTAGACTGAAACAATTTCATTAAATCGTTCAGCTTCGCAAGACTTTGTTGTGTATTGTAGAAAAACAACTTGTTTGCTTGCATAAGGAAATACACTTTCATTTCGGGTATTATCAATCAAAGTTTAAATAAACTCGAATTGTGAGTTCACCGATTCTTTTTTAAACACCAGCAACGATGTTATCCACTGTGCAGTGATACATAAAGGTACACCAGTTAAAAAAGGTTGTATTTGAACTGTATTTACCATTAACATCGTAAAACTATATGTATTGTGAAACTAACTTTAAAGTCAGATGTGTGTATCAAGATGCATATCGTATCGAATGCGTTGTGCTTTGAAACTACAGTTTACGGGGTACAGGGTACGGGGTACAGGGTTAAATGGTACGGGGTACATGGTACATGGTACGGGGTACAGGGTACAGGGTACGGGGACGGAATACGGGGTACATGGTACAGGGAACAGGGAACAACGTAGACTGAAACAATTCATTAAATCGTTCAGCTTCGCAAGACTTTGTTGTGTAATGTAGCCAAACAACTTGTTTGCTTGCATAAGGAAATGCACTTTCATTTCGGGTATTAACAATCAAAGTTTAAATAATTTCGATTTATGAGTTCACCGATTCTTTTTTTAATTACCAGTAACGATGTTATCCACTGTGCAGTGATACATAAACGTACAACAGTTAAAAAAAGGATGTATTTGAACTGTATTTACTATTAACGTCGTAAAACTATATGTATTGTGAATCTAACTTTAAAGTCAGATGTGTGTATCAAAATACATATCGTATCGAATGCATTGTGCTGTGAAAATACAGTTTACGGGTACGGGGTACAGGGTACGGGGTACAGGGTACGGGGTACAGGGTATGGGATACGGGGTACATGGTACATGGTACAGGGTACGGGGTACAGGGTTCAGGGTACAGCGTAGACTGAAACAATTCATTAAATCGTTCAGCTTCGCAAGACTTTGTTGTGTATTGTACCAAAACAATTTGTTTGCTTGCATAAAGAAATACACTTAGTGAGTTCACTGATTCTTTTTTTAAACACCAGAAACAATGTTATCCACTGTGCAGTGATACAAAAACGCACAACAGTTAGAAAAAAGGATCTATTTGAACTGTATTTACTATTACCATCGTAAAGCTACATGTATTGTGAAACTAACTTTAAAGTCAGATGTGTGTATCAAGATACATGTCGTATCGAATGCGTTGTGCTGTGAACATACAGTTTACGTGGTACAGGGTACAGGGTACAGGGTACAGGGTACAGAGTACAGGGTACAGGGTACTATAGTCAGGTACATTAAAATTTGAGTTAAATTTTCATAATGGCTCACTGTTCGCTTAATAATAGTATTATGATGTTGATTTTATGCACAGAGGTTGTTTAAGGTAGCATTAGTGAAAGTGGAAAAATAATTTTAGTTTTTATAAATTTTTGACATGTTTTGGGCTAAACTATCTTGGCCAAAATCTGCGGGTTAAAGTTTGGGTTTAAGTTTCGTAATAGCTTATCGTTCACTTGATAATAGTGTTAGGATGCTGATTTTATGCACAGCTTTTGTTTAGGGGTCTAGCATTGATATTGTTTATTGAAAGTGGAAAAATAATTCTATTTCATTTTTGAATTTTTGACATGTTTTGGTCTTAGCTATCATGGCCAAAATCTGCATGTCAAAGTTTGGGGCGCCGGTAGGGGACATGTATTGATTCATACATACCCACATAATGCTTGTTCACCTCGTACTTTACGCGATTTATGGTTTATGTCACATTTCTCACCAGCTGGCTAACTCTGTTGGTTGAATATCAGTCGCTAATGTTGGTCATAATTTGGAAGTTGGAAATTACTCATCTGTTCTAGCCAAAAAGTTATACATTTGTAACGTTAGAGGGCGTTTTCTAGACATCTTTCTCTTTTTTCATCAGAAAACTCCATGCCTGGATTTGTATTCCTTAGACCTTTATTTACCCTGATGAGCCATCCATGTACGAAATCCCCGTGTGGTACATTCCCATGTGGTACATTAACATGTGGTACATTCCCGTGTGGTACATTAACATGTGGTACATTCCCATGTGGTACATTCCCATGTAGTATGTTCCCGTGTGGTACATTCCCATGTGGTACATTCCCGTGTGGTACATTCCCGTGTGGTACATTTCCGTGTGGTACATTCCCGTGTGGTACATTCCAATGTGGTACATTAACATGTGGTACATTAACATATGGTACATTTAATGTTTTTCCTTTGTTTGGCATTCCGCATCGACTTTTTTATTATTACATTCTTACAAGGAATTGCGTTATTTGTTTTAATATTTTTAGCATCCTTTGATAGTATGTCATATATTGTTAGCTGTGGGGTCTGTTTGCCCAAGGTGTTATTCATCTGGATGAGGTCGCCTTAGGCGTTATTCAAATTATATTTCCTGTACATTTTACTTTTAGTCTTATGTCCTCTTCTTTGTAAACATGGCCTTGGACGGTTGACAGTCTACTTAGTGCAGAGTAAAGTTTACAAGATTATCGCGTTGGTTTGTCAGTCACTTCGATAGGTAAGGTAACTGCTGCAATATCTGGTAAGTTCCAGTTATTGTATGGCTGTTTCGCTATTCTTTGTGTTTGAGGCTCAAATCTCAGCTTTCATATGTATATGATCGTGAACTTCTTTTCTTAATTCAGTCCCCAAAATGAAGTGGGGGACTTGCTGGTTTTACTCCGTTTCATGAAATGAATACATCTCCGAAAAAAACTTTATTTCTTAAGAATTTGTAATATGATATTATTAATTTCCCTTTTTCATTAGAAAGGGGGAGTCTTCATTACGATGAGCGTAATAAATGTCCAGAAATCTTCTGTCAGCATGTGAGCTACAGGTGTGACGCACACTGTTCACAGAAGGGGAGGGAAGGCGATTTTGGTGAGTTCATACACTAGTACTGTTACTCCGCTATTTATAAAGATACGTAGGAAAACATAAAATAAAATATTGATAATATAATTATTCAAAGTGTAAATATAAATAAAGCATCACATCAACATTGTATGAATTGATTAGAATATTACTTTATCTTAGTATATTACCACAGGTCATGCTATTCTAAAACGTTTTTATGTTATCTACAATGTACATTATTCTTGCTATAATAAACTGGTTTTGTTTCAGAACTACACAACTGCACTGGGACACATCGTTGCTCATCTGAGAAGAAATACAATATTCCGATATTACAAGTTTGTGATGGAATCAGTCTGTGCTCTGGCTCTAATGATGACGAGTTTTCGTGTGCCAAGCCTTGTCAGCCATTTTGTATGTGTATTGGTTTAACGGTCAACTGTAGTAACAGCCACCTGAATTTTGGACGTTTTTCTTTCGAGAACATATCAATTGTCACCAAAAAGGGAGATCCACGTTATCCTCGGTTGTCCTACCTCAGTTATCTAGTGATAACTGATTTAACTACCATGGTTGATAATTTCGTCACTGGATTAAATCACTTAAGGTTTCGAAGTTTATCCAATAACAATTTACCTTTTCTTTTAGGTAAAGTTTTCAGTGGACCGGCTGTACTAGATACCCTCGATCTTTCAAACAGCGACATGAATTTTCTTGCCGAGCATGTGTTCAGTGGACTTTCTGCACTAACCCAACAGTATCTATCACACAATGAAATTGATTTTCTACCCGGTAAAGTGTTCAGCGGACTGTCTCTACTAATAAATCTTAATCTATCAAACAATAGAATATTTTATCTTCCCGACAATATTTTCAGCGGTTTATCTAAACTTTCCGAAATCAACCTTGCGAACAATTGGTTAAGTTTTTCCCCAGGTACAACTGTCTTCAGTAGACTTTCTGCGCTAACCAAACTGTATCTATCACACAATCACATTACAGATCTACCCGGTAAAGTGTTCAGTGGGCTGCCTCTACTTTATTTCCTCGATCTTTCAAACAATCAAATTACAGATCTACCCGGTAAAGTGTTCAGTGGGCTGCCTCTACTTAATTTCCTCGATCTTTCAAACAATCAAATTACAGATCTACCCGGTAGAGTGTTCAGTGGACTGCCTCTGCTAATACATCTTAATCTATCAAACAATGAAATAATTTTTCTTCCCGACAATATTTTTAGCGGTTTATCTAAACTTTCCGAAATCAACCTTGCGAACAATTCGTTACTTTTTCGCCCAGGTACAACTGTCTTCAGTGGACTTTCTAACCTCGATAGTCTGAATATGTCTAACAATGGCATCCTGTCCCTCCCCAGGAATGTGTTTAGCTATGACACACTCGCACTCAGGTATCTCCTGATAGGCAACAATCTTTTGTCTGATCTGCCTTTGTTGCCTTTCTCCCTTGAAGTTCTCGATATAAAAAACAACATAATTACAAATTTACCAAGCGGAACATTCACAAATAATGGCAATCTCCTTATTTTAAATATAATAGGTAACAATCTGGATGTTAATGATTATCTGTTTGAAGGACTAGATAACCTAATACGATTACTGACGGATACTCCCTTCATGTGTTGTGCTAAACCTAAATCAGTAACCGACGATAACTGTTTAAGTACTTCAGCCGAGGCATTGCAGTGCCGGCCTGGACTTGGTACATGTAGATCAGAAGACGATGCGATATCGTCATGTAACGCCTTGATTGGTTCGAATATACTTCGAGTATTTCTCTGGTTAATTGGAATGTGTGCACTAATAGGGAACGTTGCGGTCATCTTTTACAGATTATCTTTTGATAGAAACAATATTACAAAGAGTTATTCAATCTTTATACTCAACCTTGGATTATCAGATTTACTCATGGGTATCTACTTGGTGATAATAGGCGGTGCTGATGCATATTACAATGATGTATACGCATGGAATGATCAGAAATGGAGAAAAAGCGTTCTATGCACCACAGCTGGGATTCTCTCCAATATATCTAGCGAGATGTCTACGTTCTTGATACTGCTCGTGACAGTAGACAGACTAATTGTCATAGTGTTCCCCATGGCCCGCCATTACCAGAGAAACATTTCGGCGAAACAGGCCTCCATTATCTCCGGGTTCCTGTGGTTGGTTTCTATCACAATTGCAGTCATCCCTATCATTTCTATGCAGTCCTATTTCAAGGGGGAATTCTATTCCCAGTCAGGGGTTTGTCTCGCCTTGCCACTGACAACTGCAGAGCAACCAGGAGCGGAGTATTCCTTTGCGATTTTCGTTTGCCTCAACAGTTTCATCTTTGTTGTCATAGTCATTTGTCAAATTTGCATTTTCATAAACATGAGAATACACGGTGGTAACATTACGTCATCACAGACTCGTAAACGAGATATGAATGTAGCAAAGACACTCTTCTTTGTGGTGGCAACGGACTTCTGCTGCTGGTTTCCTATCGGAGTGTTAGGTACGTGGTAATCAAACAGTTAATAACTCGGCGTTTATCCAGTTACTAAAATATTGTTTAATCAATTAGTTTGGAATCATCAAAAATCTTAATAACCTCTATTTTACACCAATCAGATGATGATCTCCTGTCATGTGACTATTGCCTGTTCCTCACTCAACTCCATCTTTATAATACGTGATGCTGGTTTTCTTCGTTAAAGGAAAATATTGTTTTGTTAGTTAGCGTTTCTTTTCGACCACGATTTCAGTAAACTATCATGGCCGACAAAAGCTGGACAAAGTGAATAGATTTTTCATATCATTGTGTACCGTGGTACAAAAAGATATAAAAAAATCAATTCTTTGTGTACCGTGTGTAGTACATAAAGATTAGAAACGATTTTTTTTTAAATCTCATATCTTTTCACATGAAGCTGTAAACGCAGCCGACAACAGCCGGCAAAATGATATAAAAGCTTGTCGTTTTCAATTCATTCTGTACCGGGAATGGTACACAAAGATATGAGAGATCGTCGCTTTCAATGCATTATGTACCCTTAAAAAGGTACAGAAAGGGTGATACATAAAGATATGAAAGCATTGGGATTTCGTTATCAGACAAAGTGACTTGAAATAACCCTCGGTAATGAATTACCTAATCACAATGCCGAAACAGCGATCGGAGAGCAATAATCACTCATGAAGAAGATATGAGTTTGCCTCACTTCTGCATATGCTGGGGCCTTCATAGGGTTTTCTAATAGAGAGTGAAACGACGTTTGTTGATTTTTGATTTTTCATCTGTATGATATCTTGTTTATTGATTGTATGTTCATAAAATAAATGTTTATAATCCAAAATAAAAATGCAAAGTAGTAAAGTATATATAGTAGGCTTATTGCCCGTGCTTTAACATTGTAAAGTTCATTTCCCATCGGAATTTTGAGTTCGTATTTGGCAAATTTAGGCGCAAGGATGTACAAGTATTACATAACATCGGTTGAAATGATTTCCCCTTTTGTTGTAGAAGCCTACCATAATATCAAAAATGATTTTAATTTAATAGCTTACATGTATACCAATTAATTTAACAATCATGATTGCCACTGATGCTAGGTGTAATGATAATTGGACACATTCTACGAGATAATATACACCGTGTACGTGATGACAGCCTTATCAAACGGTAATTTGTCACACTGGATAACATTTATGAGGCGACGGTTTCATATGAATCGGTACCGTGACTCTGTTCGGTCGTTGTATGGTACAAAAACCTACGAAAGAAAAGTGTACCATGGTACACAATGATTTGGTTTATTATTTTATTGTGTACCAAAGAAAAGTGTACCATGGTACACAATGATTTGGTTTATTATATCATTGTGTACCAAAGAAAGGTGTACCATGGTACACAATGATATCGTTTATTATATTATTGTGTACCAATGAAAAGTGTACCATGGTAAACACTTATATGGTTTATTATATGATTGTGTACCAAAGAAAAGTGCACCATGGTACACAATTATATGGTTTATTATATTATTGTGTACAAAAAAAGTGTACCATGGTACACACTTATATCGTTTATTATATTATTGTGTACAAAAGAAAGTTTACCATGGTACACAATGCTATCGTTTATTATATTATTGTGAACCAAAGAAAAGTGTACCATGGTACACAATTATATGGTTTATTATATTATTGTGTACCAAAGAAAAGTGTACCATGGTACACAATGATATCGTTTATTATATTATTGTGTACCAATGAAAAGTGTACCATGGTTAACACTTATATGGTTTATTATATCATTGTGTACCAAAGAAAAGTGCACCATGGTACACAATTATATGGTTTATTATATTATTGTGTACAAAAAAGTGTACCATGGTACACACTTATATCGTTTATTATATTAATGTGTACAAAAGAAAGTTTACCATGGTACACAATGCTATCGTTTATTATATTATTGTGAACCAAAGAAAAGTGTACCATGGTACACAATTTTATGGTTTATTATATTATTGTGTACCAAAGAAAAGTGTACCATGGTAAACAGGGATATGGTTTATTATATTATTGTGTACCAAAGAAAAGTGTACCATGGTAAACAAAGATATGGTTTATTATATTATTGTGTGCCAAAGAAAAGTGTACCATGGTACACACTTATATGGTTTATTATATTATTGTGTACCAAAGAAAAGCGTACCATGGTACACACATATATGATTTATTATATCATTGTGTACCAAAGAAAAGTGTACCATGGTACACAATTATATGGTTTATTATAACATTGTGTACCAAAGAAAGGTGTACCATGGTACACACCTATATGGTTTATTACATTATTGTGTACCAAAGAAAAGTGTACCATTGTAAACAATGGTATGTTTTATTATATTATTGTGTACCAAAGAAAAGCGTACCATGGTACACACATATATGATTTATTATATCATTGTGTACCAAAGAAAAGTGTTCCATGGTAAACAATGGTATGGTTTATTATATTATTGTGTACCAAAGAAAAGTGTACCATGGTACACAATGATGTGGTTTGTTATATTATTGTGTACCAAAGAAAAGTGTACCATGGTAAACAATGGTATGGTTTATTATATTATTGTGTACCAAAGAAAAGTGTACCATGGTACACACTTATATGGTTTATTATATCATTGTGTACCAAATAAAAGTGTACCATGGTAAACAATGATATGAAAAATCAATGCATTTTGTCCGGCTCTTGTTGACCATCGTAGTAAACTATACTGACTGCCGCTATCTTTACAAAAAATATTAAGAAATCTGTTCTGTCACTTTTTTAAAACATTTTCTGTGCTTACTGCCTATGTTTTTACATAAACAGAAACAGAAGCAATTAACATGTGACGTTTTTCAGGTGTTGCGACAAAATACGGAGTCCAAATTTCCAATGAAGTGTACGCATGGGTAATGGTGTTTGTACTGCCAGTGAATGCCGCTGTCAATCCCCTGCTGTACACTGTCTCAGAGGTCTGGAGGAGGAGACGAAGGGTAAATCAGTCCAGTTCAAGTCATCCTTGGTGTAATGTATCAAATACCATTCAACTGCTAGCAAAATTATTCATCGTTTATTTATTCAAAAAATGGGGGAACGTTGTTGCGGATTGAGGGGGAATTAGGTACATACAGAAAGAAAACTATGCTATTTGCATAAATCTGAGTAGCGGTTTAAGCGCAAAGAACGTACAGTTTTTCTTCTGTCCTAATAACAACACCAGCAGCGACAACACACATAAAATAGAGATAGCTATTGTTCTTGTTCCAAATTAGAATTCTTGTCTTAAGTGAATGGTTTCATTACCATTACCAAAAAAAGCAAGTGGAATATTTCCCGCAAAAGGTGATTGATTTTATATATAAACTTTCTACAATAGCTTCATCTTTTAACTTTATTTTTGATTTGAATATCATTAACTTCACAAATATGATACATGTATATTGAATGTTAATCTTATTTAGAAAATGTTGAAAAATAATACAAACAGACTTTGCTTTCTGCATGCTCAAACAGTTTCCTTTAATTGAAAACAGGCTTAAAAACGGACGAATTTTATTTACGTTGCAATTCACCATCTATACGCTGCTTTTTACAGAAACTGTCTGAGTTCACACTTTTATAATGTCCTTCTTTTACAGGCGCTAAGGTTCACAAATATGAAGACAACATCACCACAACATCTTCAGCGAGCCGCCGTTATTGAGACTGAAACGTCCGTATGAAATACCACTTATTAAACTCATGGTAAAGTCTTTTCAGTAGTTTGGCGGAGTTACAAAGGATATCGGTGTTCACGTGATACACTTTACTCAGGATATCGGTGTATCACGTGATAAACTATACAAAGGAGATAGGTGAATCACGTGATGATATATACAAAGGTGATCGGTGTATCATGTGATAAACTATACAAAGAAGATAGGTGTATCAGGTGATACAAAAGAGATTGCCGTAATTTACAGTGCCATCCTTACAAGGATCAAATATTTCCAGACATTTGATTATGGTGTTTTGTATGGTTAAATATTCCCGGGCGTTTGATTATTGTGCTTTGTATAGTTAAATATTTTCGGGCGTTTGATTATTGTGTTTTGAATAGTTAAACATTTTCGGGCGTTTGTTTTTTGTGTTTTAAATAGTTAAACATTTCCGGGCGTTTGATTCTTGTGCTTTGAATAGTTAGATGTTTGCGGGCGTTTGATTATTGAGCTTTGTATAGTTAAATATTTTCGGGCGTTTGATTATTGTGCTTTGAGTAGTTAAATATTTCCGGGGGTTTGATTATTGTGTTTTGTATAGTTAAATATTTCCGGGGGTTTGATTATTGGGTTTTGAATAGTTAAACATCTCCGGGCGTTTGATTATAGTGCTTCGAATAGTTAAATATTTTGGGGCGTTGGATTATTGTGTTTTGAGTAGTTAAACATTTCCGGGCGTTTAAGTATTGTGCTTTGAATAGTTAAATATTCCCGGGTGTTTGATTATTGTGTTTTGAGGAGTTAAATATTTCCGGGGGTTTGATTATTGTGTTTTGAATAGTTAAATATTCCCGGCCTTTGATTATTGTGGTTTGAATAGTTAAACATCTCCGGGCGTTTGATTATTAGGTTTTGAACAGTTAAATATTCCCGGGCTTTTGATTATTGTGCTTTGAATAGTTAGATGTTTGCGGGCGTTTGATTATTGTATTTTGAGTAGTTAAACATTTCCGGGCGTTTGATTATTGTGTTTTGAATAGTTAAATATTTCCGGCCTTTGATTATTGTGATTTGAATAGTTAAACATTTCCGGGCGTTTGATTATTGTGTTTTGAACAGTTAAATATTTCCGGGCGTTTGATTATAGTGCTTCGAATAGTTAAATATTTTGGGGCGTTGGATTATTGTGTTTTGAGTAGTTAAATATTTCCGGGCGTTTGATTATTGTGCTTTAATTACTTAAATATTTCCGGGCGTTTGATTATTGTGCTTTTTATAGTTAAACATTTCTGGGCGTTTGATTATTGTGCTTTGAAACATATCCGGGCGTTTGATTATTGTGTTTTGAATAGTTATACATATCCGGGCGTTTGATTATTGTGCTTTGAATAGTTAAACATTTTCGGGCGTTTGATTATTGTGTTTTGAATAGTTAAACATTTCCGGGCGTTTGATTATTGTGCTTTGAATAGTTAGATGTTTCCGGGCGTTTGATTATTGTGTTTTGAATAGTTAAACATTTCTGGGCGTTTGATTATTGTGCTTTGAATAGTTAAATATTTCCGGGCGTTTGATTATTATGATTTGAATAGTTAAACATTTCCGGGCGTTTGATTATTGTGTTTTGAGTAGTTAAATATTTCCGGGCGTTTGATTATTGTGATTTGAATAGTTAAACATTTCCGGGCGTTTGATTATTGTGCTTTGAATAGTTAAACATTTTCGGGCGTTTGCTTATTGTGATTTGAATAGTTAAACATTTCCGGGCGTTTGACTATTGTGATTTTAATAGTTAAATATTTCCGGGCGTTTGATTATTGTGCTTTGAATAGTTAAATATTTCCGGGCGTTTGATTATTGTGCTTTGTATAGATAAATATTTCCGGGCGTTTGATTATTGTGCTTTGAATAGTTAAATATTTCCGGGCGTTTGATTATTGTGCTTTGAGTAGTTAAATATTTCCGGGCGTTTGATTATTGTGCTTTGAGTAGTTAAATATTTCCGGGCGTCCAGTTAAGGTCCTTTGTATTGTAATAGCCTTTCCGCCAGATACTATATAAATTCAGAGTAAAATCTGGAGGATACTTCTAGCTATCTACTTAACTATAGTATTAACTTTATCCGCTATGTATTTAATGGGGTCTATTTAGTATATTTTTCCAGTGTAGTCATTACTTATTACTATCTATATAATACAGCACATCCGTGTATATGTGGACGTGAATTGATATACAAAACGCTCTTGTGGCGAAGCTATCTGAATATTTAAAGGAAAACAATGAGTTCGTCCTGTTTATCTGTCGTAATACTAAGTCGTAAGCTGTCTCCTTTTGGTCATGTTGTTAGTTAATATCGAGGAAGGCGGCTGAAACAGAGGAAGCTCTCGAGAGTAGACTAAAATCATCCGTATATACGATAAAAAAATTGTTTGACTCAAATACATAATAATAATGATAATAACAATGTTTTACAAATGCTTGCCATTTTAATATAAGGAAAATGTTATTTTTTTTTTTACCGAATATAGGCTTGGTATCATTATTATTTTTTTTGCTTCATAAACCAATTATATATCACTGATATTTAATAATATGTATATACGCTTGTGAACTTGTATGAACGTCACGATTGATGTCATTTTGTAAATAATATATTATTCATGTATAATCATTGTTATCAAGCTCTTCAATTTGAAGGAAATAAAGATGATATATACGATCGATGTGGTCAATGGATTTCTTGTTATTTAAATATTCACGTCGTCGATATATCAGAACTTGGAATTGAAAGACCTTGCCAGGTTTTTGTTTCCACTTCTGTTAAGCTTATCAAGAAATTTCTCTCCGTTTGAAAACCTAAAAAAAAAAAAAAAAAAACGGTTAAAGAGAGCCACATTTGATTCCCATAGAAAGTGTAACGTCTGCTAGAAAATTCTATCACCAAATTCTACAAAGATACCGTTATCTAGTAACTCAATCAGTCCAACCATTTCGTACGCAGTGTAGATCATTTTGACCTTTGTTGTGCTTTTCACAAATGTGCTCCAAAATGAAAGTTGATGCAGAAATTTGATGTTGTTCGGCGCAATGGTAACACATACATAATTAATTTTCATCACAGCCTCGGCCATTGATAAAACATTAATGAATGCATCAGGTGATATTATACTGACATTTTGTTGGATTATCACTCTCACAATTACAATCGTCTAACAGAGACCAAACACATTACGGACACATGATAGGTCACACAGCTAATGCTATTAGTACTGACTATTAGATCCTAAGCCTGTAAACCAATGATCATGTATATGTCAACATTAATACTTCAATACATGAAATGAAAAAAAAAAGACTTATCAAATATCAGAAAACAGCAGTAATGCGACGTATCATGGTATGCAGTCTCCTTGTCAATTATTGTGGCTACTAATTTCAACCTTATTTTAATGCATTGATATTTTCATTATTACACTTTTGAAATATAATAGATACTTAAATATATTCCTGTTGAGAACCGGATATGTTCAATATGCAAGTTTACTAATGTGTTTTATAATGGTGTATACCTCAGTCCAGAAAACTGAAATGCACATTGAAAGTATTGTTTCTTATAAAAAGATTTTGTTCATGAGATATATTAAGATGACCAAGGACCTAAGACATAGGACCTAGAATAAGGAAAGAAATTATTTAAAATAGTATATATACCGTTGATTAAATTCAATATATGTTTTATCTCGGATAACTGTGTTTTATGTTTTAACCGGATATACAGTACAAGGAATGTAAACAAGATGAATTATACAATATTTCTGATTGATATATTAAAACCGTAACATTCTAGGCAAATTAAACTTTCAGGTTGATCAGCACACATAATAATTGTCTGACCAGATGGTACACAGGTACATCAGTACACAGACCAACTGTCTGACCAGATAGATACAGGTACATCACTACACAGACCAACTGTCTGACCAGATAGATACAGGTACATCAGTACACAAAACAACTGTCTGACCAGATGGTATACAGGTACATCAGTACACAGACTAACTGTCTGACTAGATGGTATACAGGTACATCACTACACAGACCAACTGTCTGACCAGATAGATACAGGTACATTAGTGCACAGATCAACTGTCTGACCAGATGGTATACAGGTACATCAGTACACAGATCAACTGTCTGACCAGATGGTATACAGGTACATTAGTGCACAGATCAACTGTCTGACCAGATGGTATACAGGTACATCAGTGCACAGATCAACTGTCTGACCAGATGGTATACAGGTACATCAGTACACAGACCAACTGTCTGACCAGGTAGATACAGGTACAACATGAGACAGACCAATTATCTGACCAGATGGTATACAGGTACATTATTATACAGACCAACTAACTGACCAGATATAGACAGGTATATTAGTGCACAGACCAACTGTCTTACCAGATAGCTCCAAGTACACGTGTACACAAACAAAATGTCTGACCAGATGGTATACAGGTACATTAGTATACAGACCATCTGTCTGTTTAGATCGTAAACAGGTAAATCATTTCACAGACCAACTGTCTGACCAGTTAGCTCCAGGTACACGTGTACACAAACCGTAGTCAGGGGAAGGTGCATACGTAGTAACTCGTAGTTATTCCCCTTGACTACGCTTTAAAATCAGACACATTTATCGTTTTTGTTGTAATGGTTTTTAACTTGGTAGCAATTTATTCACTGCAGTGTCAAGTTATTAATTTGTCTAAATCAAGAGCAGAAGTCAAGTTGAATAATTAGTTTTATAGAGTTAACACACGTTAAACGACTGGAGTACCAACGGGCTCTAAGGTTCGTGTTGATAACGCCCGTAGTCAAATTCCCAGGCATTACAGCTCGCCTGGTACGGTTACGACAACAAATATCACTACCATAACCAACGGCGACCAACGATGCCGCAATTAACAAAACGTTCACCCTGACGTCTACAGATTCTTCGCCAACCACCCTCGTGCGACATCAGAATCTAGATTCATAAGTAAAAATCCGTTGATCTATTGACATTTGTTTACAGGGTCAATTAAAGCGAGTTTTCTTTGGTGACACTGTGTCAAAATGGGCCCTTTGTAAGGGAATATCGCTTTTAATCGAGTTACTTTCAGGCGGTTTCCGATAGATTGAGTATATACATGCCGACCATCTCTCTTGACAAACTGAGAACCCTCAGTTATATAAGTGACTCATAATATATGCAAAGTACAATTTATGATTAAAGAAAAACAGCGAGAAGACTCTAAGCTATTTTAGACCAGCATAGAATTATTCGGAAATCCCACATGACACTAATTAACTCTTACATCCGCTAACAAGACAATGCCTCTGTAGCACTTTACACAGGAAAT